TAGTTTTAAAAATAAAACATATTTGTTCCATAACATTTGGCTTGTCATGTTTTTGCAATGAAAGGGCTGATTTAAAAATTCAAAACTTTATGATTTATTTTTTTATAAACTTTAAATATACTGTTATAGTTTTGTATGTGCGTAGAGTTTTCAGTACTAAAAAAACTTTTTTTATTAAGAACTTTTTTGAGATAAAAATCAGACAAAAAGGAATTCAAAGGTTGTTGGGGAAACAGCATTATTAAAAAAAGTAGGATGGGATTTAGTTGTATGAAGTAATATAAAAAAAGGCAGTATCAAATAAAAAGAAGAGAAAATTTTGAATGAGGCATTTAAATTAAGGGTAAACAGGCAATTTAAATTAACTAGAGTTACATGGATTATATTTTTAAGCTGATCAATAACTTTTTTTTATAATTCATATTTTGTTGTTATTAAGAACTGCGTTTTACGTTTAAACTAGGTTGTTACTTGTAGTTTTAGGGTTGTTCAGAATATTGATTGAATTAAGTTTGATCAAGAATATTTTCTTAGAATGTTTTTTTTATATTGTTTTAAGGTCTTGGAATGTAGTATTAAGCATTTAGGACACAAGTTAAAATAGACTTACTTTATTTAGCATTTCCTAATATATAATATTGTGAATCATAATTTAGATCAATTATTATTATTATTTCCAACATAGATTGATTTCCTTCTTTTTAAAATAATATTTGAAAGCAGAATTCTATTAACCGTATGCAATATGTAATAGTAAACTTTTTTTTTTTGATTCTATCTTGTATAATAAAATATAATGAAAATAAATATAATGAAAATAAGACACAAGTTTGATAAACAAATTTGATCATGTAATTCTTTATTTAGAGCAATTTCATTATACGAAAAGATTATACATTACTATACCCTTATTATATAATAAAATATTTTAGATTATTATATGTGACTTTTCTTTAAGTATTTCACATAATAATGCTGCAATTAAAAAAATTTTATATAATCAAAAACGTATTTTAATTATTTTTTTGTCTATAAAAATAATAACAATAACTTATTTGAGATAATTGTTATTGTTTGTATAAAAAAATACTTTCAAAAAAAAAAAAAAAAATGGAACATAAAATTATGCCAGATTCAATTATACAGAAACATTCTAATATGGTATATCATTTTATAATAAAAAACATTGTTGTTTTATTAATAATTTTATAATTTTTTAAATAAAATTATTGTTTTAAAATAAGTCTTGAGGAAGTATAGATCACTTTAAGCTGCGTTTTCGAGTCTTGTTCGAACTTTTGAACAAAAGTTACCAGTAATTGAGAAGGCTCGCTGAGACTCTACGCTCGATAGCGGAATCAAAATCAAATATGAATAGACGGACTCGAATATTTTGCCACTAACGCCGTTTTTTTCAAAGAATTTCATTTTAGATTTAACTTTTGAAATTAAGCTCCTATTTATTATTTTTTGAGTTGAGTAGGACGTTTTGTTGGACGATAAGTTCAATTGAATTTTGTTCATCAATTTTCGCACTAATGTTAAAGATCTTAATGTTTCGAACTAATGTTAAGAACTTAGTTTATTTATTTGATTATTGAAATAACACCTTAAATCATAACTATCTTGAAATGGGAACGAAAATATAAATGGAAATTTTAAAATTAATTATGTTTCCTCAATTTAACCATTGTTGGTTGTTATTCTATAGTGAGACTAAAAAAAAAAGTGTTATTACATAAACTTAATAATTTTTTTACCCCTCCTGCTAATATGAAAAAATGTATGATAACATTTTAACATGACATTAATAAAATGATAACATTTCAATATGATTAGATTTCACCTGATATTTCATCATTACATCATTTCAACATGACAACAGTAAACAAGTTATTTCTTAAAGTTAAGTACTGTTGCAAAAACTGATACTGAATAGACTAGAAAAAACTGCGCAAACAAAACGTAGTTAAAATGCGCGATAAATATTATCCGAATCGAACTGTGTAATGGTCCGTTTAGTACTGCTGATTTCACTAATTTGGCCGGCCATTGTATTGAATGGTCTACCCACTTCAACTTTAAAAAAAGAAAGTGTGTATACTTTTTACATTCAGAAAAAAATCTACATTTTTGTTAACTTCAATATTTTTCTTTTTTTCTAATAAAACTGAATTGATTTTGGGTGCTACTGCTATAAGTCTGTTAATTTTACTGAAACAAAATTGGTGTTGATTGCTTCAGATTTATTCTGTTTGTAACACGGGATAAAAAAAAATCTCTATCTTTCCATCAATCAGGTTATAACAATATAATGACAGGTTCTGAAATACATGGTGACAGCATTATGAACAAAATGATGCTAACTGAGAATTTTTCCTTAATGTGATGCTAACCAGCTATCAATATCTTAATTGTAATTACAATTGAAGGATCAATAAAGTGTTATATCTGGTGGTTGCAATATATGTGATGTATGAGTGGCAACGTTAAAACTATTGCACCATTATCCAATGCTAAGAATTTAATTGAAATTTGTGTCTCATGGTATTCTTGTATCGACAACACAAGGTTTGTCTTAGACGGTCTAACACATTTTATAAAATTTCACATCAACCAAATTGGTAGTCTAAATAGGACCAGGAATTAAAGTTCGCAAAAAAAATACTTTGAATGAAGCCGGGGAAATATGTAAAATGATATCATCAAGGATACACTTGCATTTACTGGATCACAAATTGTTATCAAGGTACCTCGTTCAGCTTTTGTAGGAGAAACAACTTGTCGTACCCCTCTTTTGGTTAAAACATGCTCTGGCACTTCTACAGTAGGAACGCTAGTCTCATCTCCACGTAACTTTTGTTAAAAACTTGTATTTGATAAAAAGACTTCGCAGACTATTTTAAAATAGACTTACATTATGTTTGTTGAACGCTGACATTCGACCAATGGATGTCACCCCAGGTTGTCAGGAATGTGAGATTTTTTTCTCAAGTTTCAGACCGTTTATAACTCTTTTAGCCTGATTAGACTTAACCGGCATCTCATTTTTGCAGAAATGAAACAATATTAAACCAGCTCTTGTTCTTTCATAGAATTCTTAATAAATGGAACTCAATGCAACTTAATTAATCCGTCATGTGATAAGTTGAGTTCTCTAATTCACATATTAGTTACTGAGCGTTTGACATTAAACATCTCCATTTATCTGTAATAGTAGCAGTATATATAATATATAAAAAGTTGTTCATGGGACACTCTTATCTACAAGTAACGCTCTCTTATACAATAAAACTTTGACATATAACATCTAGATATGTTAATATTAGTGATAACAACTTTTATAATTTAATATATCATAATAATATTGCAAAATATTAAATTATTTTTATATTACAAAATAAACTATATAATAAAAATTATTATTTAATTATGTAAATAAACAGCGTACTCAAGTCTTTGATAACCAAAGTTATTTAGTTATTTTGGTATAATTCCTAAGTAACACTTCTATAGCTAGTTTATAATCAAAAACTTGTGTATTTTATTTTAGTAAGTGCATATTGAAGTGAGATCATGATGGTTTAGCAGTACATCAATCAAAATGCATATGTTACCATATAATTAAAGCAATTAGTACATCATGTAATTTTTGTTCTACTATAATACAAAGTAAAATATATATAGTATCACATTATTATAACTATTCATAGTTAACTTGACCTTAAAAAGATATTTTATGTTCAAATAAATTGAGAGAATAAAAACTACATTTGTCTTAAAAAAAAATTAAAAAGTTAAATATGAATACATTATTACAAATAAAGTTAACTAAAAATACTGAAGAGACTTTGAGTATACATTTGAGCATAAAGTTATATCCCATTGAAAAAATTACATTAAACGCTTTTTAAGCTTTTATTTTTTTAACTGTCTATTCTGTACAAAGTCCATTCAATACCATTTTTCACTGCATGCTTTCTCAAAGTTATAAAAAGTTGTTGAGTAATATAAAAGTTAATTTTAAAAGTTGTTGCTTTACAAAGTAAACCTGTTGCGGTTATTATGAATTAAGGTACTTTTCATAAAAGTATAAAGTATTTACTCCTTTGAAAGCCATCTAAAGAGGTTATTCCATTATTGCCTATCGTTGTAAAACGAACTTCGAAAATTTTCTTAAGTTAGAAATGCAAAAAAATTTATTGGATATCAAATCAAAGTCAATAAAAAGTGCGATATTAATACAAAAAAGAACAAAAGAAAACTGTCAGAACCAACAAATATTATTATCAAATGTTGTTGCAAAATGTTTACACATTCATAAAAGTTAGAGCTTCAATGAGTTAGCCAGCGGTCAATTGTTGGTTTAATATTCATTGCAGCATGTCACTCGTGAAATTTTAGGAGTCAGACCCGGATTTTTTCACTTTTTTAAATAATCTACGGATTTTATAAAAGTAAATAGTTTGCAAAAGTAAGATCTAAAAATAAATATTATCTTTTTTCTATTATAAATATAAAACACTCCAGGGCAGAATTATCTTTTTCAGTGTAGTATTGTCATTTTCTATTTTTGCAAAAGTAAGGAAACTTTTACAATACAATGTGGTTTTGCTAATATAAAAATATCAAACCAATATCAAAAATATAAAAAGTCTTTAACTAAAAACTTGTTAAAAATAAGTCGATCCTCTCTGTTTTTGATGTGAGAAGAAAATATATGTATGATAATATTATTTGGAGTGACTAACAAAAAATCTATCATTGTGACAAAAAAAAAATTAAATTCAAAAGAAAACTTTTTACACAAAAACGTGTACAAGTATGTATAAAACTTTGTTTTTTAAGTTTTTTAGACAGCAATACTAAATTACTAAAGCATACTTTATGTGAAGCTTAAACACATTTGGACTTTGACAAAATGTTTTTATAAAAGTCCGAGTGTGTACAAGAAAGTCAAGTGAAGTTTATAGTATTTTTTAACATCTAACACATCTTAGGTTGGAACACTTTTTAAAGATTCATATACATCATTTTCAGCTGTTTTTGTTTATGGAAAAATTCCAATTGGTGGGGTTAATGTATCAGTGGAAGCTTGTGCTATATGGAGTTATTGCTATGGAGATCCA